CCCCCCCCCGCTCTCCAATGGCAAACAGCTGGTGTTTGGTATCTAGCAACGCTGAAAATAGTGTGTGTGTCACATCCCTGCACAGACCCCACCCATGCACCGATGCTCCCTCTGAGACGATCTCAAGTCTCCTCTGGCACCAAGCCTCTGACAAGTCTGTAATGTGCCAGGAACTGATTTACAGGAAAGTTACAGGCTTCACCTAGGGATGCCCCGGGGTGTTCCCAGGAAGATACTTGTTGCCTGGTGTAGAAATGTGCTGCCCCTTTCGCTGGGTAACAGTGCTATGTATGCATTTGCTCTGTAGTGGGAGATGCAAAGAACCCCTCGAGAGAATACAGAGAACCTAGACGTTTGTCTCTGGATGAAGAAAACAACCCACAAGCTTCCCTGTCCCCAACAGTCAGCCTAATTTCTGAGACTGTGGCTAGCCCAGGGTCAGCGTTCAAAGCTCCATGCCTGTCCCAAAGCCTGCAGCTGGCAGAGAAGACTGGGGTAACCCCTTGGAATCTGTGCAAGGAGTTACCTAGGGTTTGTGATCCACCTTCCCTCTCCTCCCTGCCTCCTGTCCCCACCAAGAGCAGCAGCTCCTCGGAACGGACAACAGCTATCTCAGAACAGGAGCTTCAGCAGCTGGAAATAGGTAACTTGGGGACTGGCTTTCTGCTGTTACCAGTGCTGGGGGTGTGAGGGGGAAGTGCTCTCTGCTGTCTTCCGTCACGGTCACCCTCCTGGGGCCCACAATTGGCTTTGTGCATTTGTCTCAAGGAAAGGGGAGACGGCTTATTTGCTGCCCTCCCTGGATCGTCGAGATGAGTGGTTCTCGCCCACTCGCATGGGCCTCAGGGCCTGTAGGGCAGGATCCTGAGACTGATGCTGTGAGGTTCCCCAGCCCTTCCACAATGAAGGGCTGTTGTGCCCGGGCAGTTCAGCCCCTGTCCAGTTGCAGGGCCTAAATGCGCAGAGAGCTTGCCCAGGCCCCGCGGGAGGGAGAATTCCAGCTTGCGCTGCTCTTTGGCCGGGCCAAAGCCCATTCTTGTTATGCAGGCTGAAGCATCGTTGATGGGAGCTGTGCAAAGGGACAGTGCAGCTAAGATCTGCCTGGACGTGTGTGGGCAGCATCTCCTGTGGCCAGTGGCCAGGCAGCTCCATTTCCAGTGGCTGGCCAAGGTTTAGTCCTTGCCATTGCCCAGAAAAGCATTGGAATGTGTGGCGCTGTGGTGGCTGCCCAGCTGCTCCTGGAGCAAGGCAGCCACCTGCCCTGCAGCCCCTTCCCTGGGAGCAGCTGGAGCGTGGTTGCACTGCTGTGCTGAGGGGGAGGGCAGGATTGCAATTCTTGGTGTGCACCTTACAGGGAACCCTGCTGGGGAGGTGTGGAATGGGGACAGCTGCAAACCTCTCTCCGTTTCCTCCCATTTAGAGTTGTTTTTGAACAGCCTGTCCCAGCCGTACTCTCTGGAGGAGCAGGAGCAAATGCTCTCATGTCTCAGCATCGACAGCCCGCTCGTGTCGGATGCCAGCGAAAAGGTGAATAAGCAGATGCCAGCAGGGGTTGCGTTGTGCTTTGAAAGGCGTGTGCCTTCTGGTGTCAGATGGGAGATTCGCTGTCGGCAGCATTGGAGCCATGGAAGTATGGCAGCTGTCGAATGTGCTGCCTTCAGTGTTCCCTCTGGGCCGATCCGGGGTAACCTGGGGACTGTGTTCGGGCGGGGGGGACACACAGGAACATGGGCGCTGGGGAAATGGCCTTCCATAGCTCAGCCCTAAGGTGCGGGCTAGTGAATCACATGCTCTGGTGCATGCGGCAGCAGGGAGTGAACTGTCTCGGTTGCTTTTTCAGAGCTCTCTGAAGGGTTCCCAGAGCCTGAGGGACACCATGAGCTCGGGGGTTCATTCCTGGTGCAGCCAGACTGACGGACAGAGCTTCAGCTGGAACAACCTGCTGTGTCGCAGCCGGCACACAGACACCCCCTGCTACTTCAATGGTGAGTCCCCTTGGGTCTCCGGATCTTGATGTACCTGGGCAGGACGCAGTTCCCCCGCATCCTGCAGGGCAGGGGTGGGTCAGTGCCCACCATGCATGGGAGCTCCTGTTTTCCCCATCCACCCAACGGAACCATCTGAGAGGGGGTGTTGCTCAGCCTGTGACACTTCATCTAGCGCAAAGCAGGAGACCATCCGAGCGGCTGTGCCCGGAGCTCCTGGTGCATTCGTGGGGTGCTCAGGCCACTAGCTTCTCATCAGAGCTGCCAGAGGACAGCTGCTGTGTGCAGGGCTCCAGGGGCACAGCTCTGCGACTGGGCTCTTGGACCTCCGTGCATGAGACACTTAGTGGCAAAGTCTGTATCTCAGGCTCCTGTCAGGGCCTTGGACGCTGGCTGCCTCTAGGGCAGCCTGGCACTGGGACGAGAGGCTGTAACTCATCACGCCTGCCGCAGGAGTAAACGACTCTGATGTTTCAGGAGTGAAAATCCAGATCCAGTTGCTAAGTGGAGAAAATCTTCATATCCGAGAGTTCCACAGGACCAAGGTGGGAGACGTTGCTACTGGGATAAGCAGCCAGGTGAGGAGCAAGCCCAGCAGCGGCTGTTGGGCTGTTGCTGGGAGGCAGCTAGTGGGTGGCTTGGGAGTTAAGGAACTGTACTCGCGACCCGTCATGGGGCTCGTGCGACACTCTTGAGCGGTGGTGGAGTGGGCCAGGCGCTCCGGGCTCTTCTCCCAGGCTGGGAACTAGAACGTGGCTCGCAGGGAAGAGGCACGTAATGAATGCCCTGTGGGAGTCGTCCACTTCCATTGTAATTCCTGGCCGGCCTCAGCTGGGCCTGGAAGGGCTGAGGGATGCACCAGCGTTGCAGGGTTTTCAGGCTTAGTTGTCATAACGCTTTGATGGCCTCCGAGTAAAGGGGCTGCAGAAGTCGACGTATCTGTAGTGTTGGAGGGGTCCCCCTCATGGGAGTGGCTTATCCTAAAGCAAAGAGATCAGCTAGAGACGGAAGGCCCTAGGAGTCTCCGCTAACCCAGCCATGCCAGTTAACAAATGGCTAGCAGTAGGCACTATGCGTGGGAGGAAATCCCGCAGCGGGATAAACAGAAGCCGGGTCTAACTGGTGTCCCCAGGAAAACGGGCATGAATCCTGCCGAACACGAACCCCTTTCTCCTGGCACTTCGTGCTGATCAGCGAGCGCTGGGTGCCAGCTAGAGCAGCCTGGCCATGCATTGAATTGCACTGATTGCCAAGTGCCACTCACCTTTCTGTGCTCTGGTTCACAGATACCAGCCTCCGCTTTCAGCCTTGTTACAAAGGACGGCCGGCCTGTTGGCTGTGACATGGAGGTTCCCGACTCGGGCCTAGAGCTGCAGTGCACCCTGGCTCCTGACTGCAGTTTCGGCTGGTCCTGGCGAGTCAAGCATGGTCAGCTGGAGAACAGACCGTGAGGCCGAAGTGCGGGATTGCAGAGGCCCACTGTCATTTGGTGCTTGAGACAAAACTAGCTATTGACATTTCCTATTGAACTAGGATTCGGGTTCGGCTTTTCACAGCTTTAGTGCGCCAGCTCCTTGCTGCTTGGCCTGGATCCGGCCTTTAGACGGGTGCTGCCCTCACAGGGCACTCTAGAGCGATGGCTGCAGCAGAGAGGACCAGGAGTGCGCTGCCGGGCATCTGCCCTTTCCAGGAGAGTGCCGGAAACACCGAGTGCTCAGAGCAAATGTGGAAGGGAGCCAGGGATTTAGAGTGTAGTAGGGTGGCTGCTGCCACCTCCTACCCCTGCAGACAACTCCTTTCTTGGTGGAGGAAAAATTCTGTTTCCAGAGGCTTTGAATGGCCTAAAGATTAGAATGGCTGGGAGAATAGAGCCCTGCAAATCCACGGGTATCTGCAGCCGCAGCTGTCAGTGTGCGTAGCCCAGGCTCGTTTGTGCAGCTATGGCCACAGATGCAAGTTTTGCATCTAGAACCCTGCAGACTTAGCTGGCTGCGTTCTCTCCGCAGGCACCCGCAGCTCCCTGGTTGTGGATACGGAACAAACTTTGTATCTGCACAGGGGTCTAAACGTAGCCGCTGTGACTGGGGGAGGGGGAGGTTCTGGTCCTTGCATTCCGCTTCCCTTCCCTGCAGCAACTGGCTTTTGTAATCACCTGCGCCACTCCCAGGAGCCAGTTTCCTCTCTTTTCTCTCCCCCCCCCCTCCTCCCAGGGTAACCGCATTTCCCACCCCGAGTGCTCTGCCAGGAAGCACAGCTCAGCCGCCCCATTTTACTGATCTGACAAGTGCACCCTCGGGATGCAGGCCAGAGCTGGGCCTAGCCCCCTGGTTCCTGACCCGGGCCAGTGAGGGAGCAGAGGGCGGGAGGCAGCAATACTTGCGTCACAGCCACACACTGACAGCTGCTGCTTACAATGCTGTGCTTGTTGGAGGACCAAGAGAAAGTCCTGCCCAGGAGAAGACGGGAACCAGAGTCCCCACTGCCAATGAATGTTCTGCAGCAGACTAAGCATTAGAATTCCTGGACTCTGTGGAAAGAGGGTCGAACCCCAGCGCTACTAAGCCGGCCTGTCGGGCGGGTAGCAGAACGGCCCTGTGCACCTTACGGCTTCTGAAAACAGGAGTCACGCAGATTCCGTGAAAATGAAAAGTTCGGTTCCCATGGCACTTCTGGGAGTGCCGTGTGTTTGCTAGCCACGCACTGCTAGACCCCAGAGCTGCCTGCGTTGCAGCTGGCAAGAGACGTGTTCTCTGCAAGTCTCAGGAGTAGCCGTGTTAGTCTGTAGCTGTGAAAACAGCGAGGAGTCCAGTGTGCCGCAAAGAACAGATTGATTTGGGCATAAGGGTTTGTGGGTAAAAGCGCGTCTCTGATGCACCTTGCATGCCCAGATCAATCTGTTCGTCTCTGTGGTGCCACAGGACTCCACATGGTTTATACTCTTGTTGAAGTATCTTAGGATTGAACGAACACTGAAATACGCGGCTCTTTGTGTGTCAAGTTCCACTCGCATGGTGGAGTTAGGCCAAGCTATTGCCAGCACATTGTCGTTCTGGTTTCTGAGGGGAGATCCTACATCGTGTGGCCAGTTTCTCCTCCGTAACTTTGCTCTTTTTGTTAACCTGTTGGTGTCAAACTCAAACACTAGAGGGAAAAGCAGCAGCCCTCAGGGTGTGGAGAGCTACTGCTCTCTGCATTTTACTTCTAGCATTAATGCTGCCCACCTGAAGGGTGAGTAAAAGTGCGGATGTCAGCCCTCCTGCACTTGTCACTCTAGCATTAGCCAGCATCTCTGCTCATGTATCTCATCCCCCTGAAGGCCTCTGGTAGCCTCATACCACTGTGATCCGACTTCTATGGGACAAGTGCTCTGCCCAGCCTCAGCTGCCTCTCCGTGCTGGTACCACGAGCCCCTCACCTTTCCCGTCTGTCTGTCTCTGTTAGCAGACTCCCTCTGGGGCCTGGGCTACCAGGCTTCTCAATCAAATTAGCCTGCACCGTGAGATGGCTTTCCAGGGCTGGCCCTAGTCCTGTTGCCGGTGACAGTGTGGGGTCTGGTTAACTGGCCGGCCTCCCCGTAGCACTGATCAGACTGCAGGGTGGAACCAGCTGCTTGCCGTGGGGCTGGGCACGGCCGGAGAAGAGCCGCTGCCTGGGGACTAGCAGACCAAGTAACAGTGGTGGCATTCGCTGCTCCTCCTGCCTGATGGCTGCGGAGGCAGGGCCCTGGCTTCCGGAGGGCCGGGAACCTTGCTGTCCTTGGAAGACATTTCACAAAACCAACTCTTAAAATCCAGAAATGCAGGTGCAGGGGGCCCTGCCCATGGAAAGAATAAAGCTTTGTCACACCAGCGCCTGTGGCCGCGCGGAGCTGTCTGTGGGGCACGGGGCTGCTGCAGGATGGCAGCTGACCCAGGAGGAGCGGCTGGAAAGCCTGCCCCTCCCGCTAGGGGCCAGGAGAGCAATACACCAGGGAGGTCCCTGGGAGAGGAAAGTGGGCCTCTCGCTGCCAACCCCCCGTTTAACCCTACAACCCCTGGGTTCATCTCTGCTCCAGCCCTCGCCTGGGTCCCAGCCTCATGAAGCTTTTGTTTACTGCTCCTCGGTGAATGACGACATCCTCCTGTGGGAGGGGTCCACAGTGAGGGCCCAGGGCGGGGGGAGGAGGGGAACCGAGGCTGGGTGTCTGGAACTGGCATCCCAAGGAGGTGCTTGAGATGTTTGAAAGGAGGCTGGACTAGCCCCTGCGCTGTGGGGCCAGGCCCTCTGGCAGGCCAGGTGCAAGGGGAACCCATGCAGCACTTCTGAGTGTCGCCTGCCGCACAATCTGCATCGTTTGCAGCCTCTGCCCAGAGCCCCCCGCGAGACCTGGGTATTTGCTCTGCTCTGGGCTGCAGGGAACAGCCGGCCCAGGGCACCAATGCCGAGATTCCAACCAGCATGTGGCTTTTGTAGCTGCACCGGCCTCCCCAGGCATGTGAGATGTGAATGGGGCAGGCACGCCAGAGGGAGATCTACCCCCCACCTGTGTTCACAAGGATACCTGGGCCCTCCCTCAGCTGCTGTGGGACAGGGGCTGTTGCTGGCAGGCCCGGGGGCGGGGGGATGAAGGCCTATCTGCAGCATTGTGCAGCGGCTGGCCATGCCCCAGCAGCGCCAGTGCAGGTGCAGTCCAGTGGGTGGGGCTTACCCGTTACTAGGGCTTCACCGATACAGTTCCTCCACTC